CATTAGTCAGAACGTCTTAAATTTGTACTGTGTCTTTTCATTAAAGCTGACCTCCACTGTTATATTTACTTACACTAATTGTTTGTGTCTTATTAATCAACTAATTAGTATTGTGATGGACAGCTTCAATAAACTAAATTCTAACAATCTTTTATTAATATAATCATTTAAAATGTTTAAACTTTAAATCATATACAGTGGTTCAATTCAGGAAGTAGCATGTGGCACTCTTTCACAATAACTATTGAGATGTACAGGAGATGACTATTTTTAAAAAAAAACATTTTACAAAAAAAGTATTAAAATAGAGCTTTAGATAACAATTAATTGAAGGATAATAAATTAATTGAACTTATATATTAGTAATAATAGTGCTTAGACTTAGAGTTGTTCTTTTGTAAAATGTTATTTCTTCACATTTGTATTTGTTTATTAAATTCATTTATTTTCAAGCCAAATCTACTTTGATCAATCTTTTGTGCAATGTAAAATTTTTTTAATTCAATCCTCAGCACCTAAGTTCTATCCGAAGTATGTTCACGTTACATCCTACCCGGGCAATGCTGTCTTTGTTGTCTGGAAGGGGATCTCTACCAGTTTAAATGAGGAGCCCCTTATTGGCTACAAGGTGAGGACTGCTTGATCTGGGGGCAGTCTTGTATACAACAATTTAATATAAGATAAGTCATCTCTAATGTTTCTGCTTAAATTTGCAGTTTGAGAAAAAAAATTCAAAGTAGTTTAATTATTAACAGGGTCCAAAAAGAAACTTGAAGATTTTTTAAACCTTTTTATTATTGGCGTTTTATGGAGACAAAAAAAATTATTAACACTGCATTTTCATTTTCAAAATTCCAGTCAGCATCAGTCAGCGATGGCAAAAATTAACTAAGCCCCTACTAAAAAAAATTATTATTGGAAATTCAGAAATTTAGTGACATGAATTGGAATTTCTGTAATTGTAATTGTATAATTTTTCGATAATTTTTTTTTCATTGAGACAAAGAGATACTTTTCATTCTTATTTCACACATATTTTTTTTCCCCAGCAATTAAAATGTTTTTATTGTACAAAAAAAAAATCATAGTTGTATCCAAAGTAAATTTTTGTTTAAATTTTAAATTTCAAAAAGATAAAACTCCAAAAATTTATTACATGTCAAGTGAAGTTATAATGTCATAGTTCAGTTTTGACTGAAGTATTTAAATGATTTCAGATTCGCTGGTGGCCATCCACTGAGGATATCCGTACCGCCAACATTACCGTCATACCAAGGAAACAGACCCGCACTGTCATCCATGGCATTGGCTCCGGTACCGTGTACTCTATCAGAGTCATGGGGTACAGTAATGCTGGGGATGGCATTAACAGTCCCACAACGTATTTTACACTGGGTAAGATTACACCTGAAAATGTTTAATTTCAAATAAAGACGAAAACTGAACTACTGCTGTAACTGTAACAGTTTAACTTGTTGGGGGAAAAAAAAATCAATTCTGATCACATATTTCCCTCTTTGGCTATGGCATGGCTAAAAATATTGCACCAAATTTTTAATCAATACATAATTTAAATTTGCAGTATTCAACATTTGTCAGTGTGAAACCCTTAAATTTAAACTAATTGAATCAGTCCATAGAGTAATCTGTCAAATAAGTGTTCTATTTAGATAATACACCTATATATATTTATATATATAATATACAGTATATACCCATTTACAATGTAATATATTAACATAATTTTCATGTGAAGGGTTTAAATTGTGACATATTTAAAGTGCTTTTGTCCCCCTTTTCTTCTCTGTCTCATTATGATTTGACCCTGTTGAAAATCTGAACCAATGATTTTACCAAATTTATTTTTATAGGTACCCGGTATTGAACTTAAAAATAAATTTATTTATTTTCCTTTTGCATTTCGCAGTGTTGGAGATCCTGTGATTAACATAATACCGGCAACATAAAATAATGAATATAATTTATTTTTCTCTCTCTAGAGGGCCAAGTGATATACAACCCAGAAACCTCAGAGATACTGAACTCAGCTAACACAATAGTTGTCAATGGTGTAATTATCATTTCTATGCTTGGATGGTTTATTCTTTAAAACCAGTCACAGCATAATCATTAGTCATGTTATTTGATTGCTAGACCATTGATTAGTTGAAAAACATATTGCATTTTTTAAAAACAATGATCCATTTTAAAGACTAGACTTATGTTTTCTTAAAGAGAAAAAAATTTGATATTGTATAACTCAGTTGGGAAAACAATACCAAAAGAAGATCTAATCAGTTAAGACTGCAACAAACAAAAGACAGGTTTTTCAAAAGTCATTCAATACTCAACTCAATCTTATAATTAAAGTTGTTTTTTTAAAGTTATGATTTCAAGTTGGTAGCACTGAAACTGAAAGATTTAATTATTTTAATCAAGAGCTAAATCCGAAACTGTTAATGAATTAGGACAAAGAAGAAACATAGGTTTATATAATACCGGTATTGAAGTATGTTAAAAGTTACAGCATAGCATTGACATTTCCTTTTTTTTATCCACTGAAGAAACATTTTAAATATTTTTTAGGGAGATAGTTTCAATGAAATTATCAAATAATTTCAAATTTGTCCACGAGTGCACAGTTAATTGTTTATTTTGTGTGTTTATTGGAAATATTGTTTTGAAGCTTGGACTTGGATGAAATGTCATTATTTTCCTTATTTTTACAATGTTAGAAATCAGTCTGTGCCTTCATAAAACTAGAACAGTGAATGCATGAATCCAACTAGAAGTAGGAATTTCTGATAAAAATCAGGACCAATCAAAGTATGATTGTATTTTTACAAATACCAAGTAGTGCTTCTCACAAATTATCTCATCAATTTACCTCTTTATCATGAATTTTTAAAAATGTCTTATGCCATTCTGAAAGTTTCAAATTTGCTCAATTTTTTGTTTTTTGTTGTAGTTTGCTTGATGAATAAACAATCAACACTCTGTTTTAAAACTGGGGCCTCAAGAAGGTAAAACAGGTTCCTTTTTACCTAAAATAACTTTTAACTGATTTCAAAGGCTCTTGCCGCCATTGTTCAAGTAAAGACACACTGAACCCCGAAAGAAAGGCCCTTTCTTCACTGAAGGAAGTCAGCTTATGTCAAACATCCCTTTAAGGGTAGTCATAATAGATCACCTCTGGCCTGAGCGCTTTGGCTAAATATTAAAAACCATAATGTGAATACGAGTTCTTTTTTTTAGCTCCTATCCAAAGTGCACCAGAATGACATAAAATTTCCCACTGCAAAAGTTTTCATTCACTGATTGTGATTTATGTAATCACTGGCATTTTGTTTATTAATTAATTGATTGTGATTGACTATGTATATAACTAACAGCCAATATAATTGATGCTCAAAAACTAACTTCTGCTGTAAAAAGTCCAATCTTATACACTACTTTTTACAATGCCTGTATTTTGAAAAAAAAAAATAAAAACTTTTACCCCAAAAAACATATCGCTTGTATACATTCAATTTGTCTTCTATTACTAACTATTAGTAAATAGTAACTTATTATACTTGATGATAAAGAATATAAAAGCTGAAAAATGAGTAAAAAAATCATTGTAAAGTTTTGCTAGTAATAGACCTGCTAAGCTATGCACGTGATATCTATGTGCATGTGAGTTTTAGGAGCAATCTTCGGGTGCTGGGTGGCCGAGTAGTCTAAACTGAGAAAAACCTTTGATGGTCCGGAGTCCAATCCCCACCAAAGCCCTCTAAGAGGAGGAAACTGAATTCAAACCTGGAGATGAAACATTCCAACAACCCCTGCGACACCACTGGTGCCCAGCTCTATCATCCACATGATATTCCCTTGTGTTATCCAGCGGCGTCGAGAGAGGCGATTTGCTGTTGGGAACCAGCTTATAATCCTTGAAGAAAAATCCCAGGCCTTGTAAATTTTCATGCTGCTAAGTCATCACCTTTGTCAAACTGACGGATGGATGCCAGAAGCAATCTTCAGATGATAAGCATGAGTTCTAGAAGCAATCTTCAGATGATAAGCATGAATTCTAGGGGCAATATTCAGATGATAAGCATGAGTTCTAGGGGCGATCTTCAGATGATGAGCATAAGTTTTAGGGGCAATCTTCAGATGATAAGCATGAGTTCTAGAAGCAATCTTTAGATGATAAGCATGAGTTCTAGGGGTGATATTCAGATGATAAGCATGAGTTCTAGGGGGGGATATTCAGATGATAAGCATGAGTTCTAGGAGCAATCTTCAGATGAAAAGCATGAGTTCTAGGAGCAATCTTCAGATGACAAGCATGAGTTCTAAGGGCGTTATTCAGATGATAAGCATGAGTTCTAGAAGCAATCTTCAGGTGATATGCATGAGTTCTAGGAGCAATCTTCAGATAATAATCATGAGTTCTAGGGGCATGAGTTCTTGGAGCAATCTTCAGATGATAAGCTAGCATGTGAGTTTTTTAGCAATCTTCAGGTGATTGCGGAGAATTGATCATATTTTCTTTCCATTGGTACATTATCTGTTGGGTTTTCTTGAGCAGCAGAGTCTCCGTACATTTATCGTAAGTCAGCACTGCTGTTTCAGCTCTGCTGTTTCAGCTCTGCTGTTTCAGATCTGCTGTTTCAGCTCAATATTTTATTTCTATCCCAGGTTATTGAGCCAGTTTCTTGTCTGGAACTAATTCACACCGTACAAAAATATCCTTTTCCAAAAAATGCTTGATGCAAAAATAACAAAAGCAGAGACACTTACTGGGGTTCCATTGGTGGGTTGAAAGAATGTGAGGACGTTATACAGCATAGATAGAGCCTTTTAAACAAGTCATAATATGAATAGAAGAACGTTGTAATTATAGAGGAATGTTGTATTATAGCAAAACCCATATACATGATAAGACAGGTAAAAACACAAAAAATACTTTCTAAAAAAAAATGTAAAAATATTTTTTAATATGATCACTCATATTTATATATAGATATGGCAATATTTCGGCAAAACAAAAGAACTGGACGCATAGAAAAAAGGAAAACCTTTTGCAATTAGATTAGACAATCGTGTTTGTTTCAAGCAAATATAACATTTTGTACTAATCTAAAGTCAACCTGATAATATATATTCAAATCATTTTAAAATTTTAAGTTAGGATGGTCTCTTGCCTTTTGTTTCTATGCTAGTAGATGACATGTAAGGTAGGAAGTCAAACTGTTTAAAGACACAAACAGCTGTCATTGCACACTGGGGATAAATTCAGTATTGAATGTGTTGAATACTGTAACATGTGTTGGTTTATATCCCCAATTACAGGATAGCATACTAACCTTATGGGAATTCTAATAATTCTGAGAACCTCTTCCTTAAAAACTTTATTTTTCCAATAAAAAAGGTGAATTTTAGTGATATAAAAAAAAAAATTAATACTTTCTTTCCATTGCATCAAATTAATTTCAGTAACAATGCATCTTGCTCTTGGGTATAGTTTGTAAAAATTTAATTGGATTATCACTTTGAAAAAAATAAAAAAATAATAATAAATGATCGTTTTCAAAATCAATAATCTGATTAGCGTTAAAAATGCTCACACATTTAACGAGGTTCGCTGTTTTATTGATACAGCAGTGTGGTTTAAAATTTAAATATTATTGGCAGCTGGTTTCCACTTTTCGAACAGCCTCTAGAAGGATGTCATCGTCTGGTGAGTCAAAATGATTGTGCCAAGTGTTTGTCTGTTGGTGGTGGTGAGAAAGGTTTGTGATGAATGAGGGCAACTGTTTGTCATTTGTGTGCGATGAGGCATCAGTTAATTCAGTTTCTATCTCACTCACGGCCGCTACAAGTTGGGCGTCTTCGTTGTCAGAGTCAAACAGCTCCTCGCCGGTATCCAAGTCTTCAAAGAATGAGGCTGGGAGCAGGTGATATGGGACATCCAGAGCTGAAAAAGGATTGAATTCTTTAATGTTGAGGACTGCAATAAATTTAATAACAATCATGCTAATAAGTAGGTAGTCCAAACTGAAATGATCCATACATAGCAGACATTTGTGGTGAGTTTCAACTGATAGAACTTTTTATTCTAGGATATAGGCCACTTATTTTACGTCATAGCTCAATAAACAAAAAAGTTAAGCGATTTTCAAATTTTCTGAAAATCGACCAAAAAGTTTTTTGTTTTTTTACATTTGAAAAAGTCCCATGTTTAAGGACTTGTATTGTATTTGCTCCAACGTTGTCAATATTTAAGCACAATTTTTTTCAAGCAGGTAAAATCATTAATTCAAAAGTTATTTAAAAAAAATAATAAGTTGCTATTTTCAGACTGAATCACCAAGTTAATTAATCGTATAATAATTAAAAATGAATTGTTGAAGCCATTTAATTATTTCCTGCCAAATAATCCTGTAAAACCTCCAAAGTCATTTAAGTACCTCTTTTCATTACAGGCTCACGGCCAGTCTCAGAATAAACAGAGTTAAAATATATGCAACAGATTATCAACCCCTTTCACATAGAAATAGTCCACGTACATTCAGATTTATATCCCACAGCCTGACAGTCGGGGTCGTAACATTTCTGATAGTAGACACCTTTTCGAAGATCCACCACATACCTGGAACAAAAGACAGTCATATGTGTGTAACTAAATATGTGTATTAACTTGACACTCATGTGTGTATAACTTGACACTCATGAGTATAACTAGAAACTTATATGTGTATTAACTATAATGTATTATTTGACCATGCATCATACCGCAGTCTCTATAGGAATACAGTCATTAAAAAAAAATAATTATCTCTCTAATGCTATTAATAATTTAAATTGGTGCAGTTTAGGGAATGTATGGCTACTGTGCCCATGCATGCAGCTCTTTAGAATGAACAGGTGAGCCACAGAAGGAGAAAGACATCCTAAACATGTCAAATTCAAATAGAATGGTTGACTACTCTATTATTAATCTTCGCTATGTGATTAAATTACCAGTTACAAAAACTTTCTTATCAGTGATATTTGTGCTATCAGTGCTACAATGGTGCTATCAGTGCTACAATGGTGCTATTAGTGCTATAATGGTGCTATTAGTGCAAAATTGGTGCTTTCAGTGCTATACTGATGCTATTAATTCAACATTGGTGCTTTAGTGTTAAGTATAGCCAAATTCAAAGGTTATCAACTCTATCACGTACGACTCTGATGAATTTAATTATTTTCTGGTTCTACGGCCACATGTGCAGAATAGTGTGGCTGGTACAGTCTGAACATGAAATTGATCTAATTTCCTTTCACGCAAATCTCACATGATATTGTTGCTGCGGTGCTCTCTCTGCACATTTCCACACCACCTGTAGCCGGCAATGTCATAGATGAGGATCTCCCTGGTCGTGAAATAAGTCCAGTGTCTGACCATACCGTGACGCCCACGGTTGGTGACCAGGTTTTGGACAAAGCCGTCAATCTCTGGATAGGGTGAGGTGGAGAGGGATCCTTCTAATGAAACTGTGAGGGTGGGGGGGAAATAATCTTGAACATTCCTTGTAAACAGTTAACTGTGTTTTAATAAACTTTATTTATAAATTGGCATCAACTGTTAGGTCATGTTATTAGAAATGTAATAAATATTTAACTTACTTTTTATTATATTCATAATTTGTTAATTTAAATTTAAACCTTCAACAAGATGAGAACCCCTGAGCAATACAATTAACAATAACCATACTTCTAATGAATTTACCACATTAAAATGGTCTTTTTTTTTTAGTAAAAAAACTTAGAACTTCTCACAAGGGAAAATATCCTGAAGTCTAATTAAAACATTTTTTTTTACTTCAAAATGAAATCAAGATATTTACAGTCATTAACGCTGAACTCATCTCCTTTTACAGCGCCACCTTCATTTGGTACAGAATTAAGCCAAGGTATTTTATGGTAAGATTTTGATGTCTCCATCTGAAGAGCTTCAACATTGGATGATTCACTTCTGGGGAAAAAAGGTAAAAAGATTGAATTGATTTTTTCCCCCCCAAGAGGTTATGTTGAACAGTCGGTGAACAGAATGCCTCTTTTTTTTTTAAACTTCTGATGTGAATATAACAAAGTGAACATTTTTGAAAAAAACTTATTTAGAACTTGTATATGATAATACAGTATAGAAATCTGAAATTATGACCTCTGACCCATCTTGCTACAGAGCATTACAAAACTCACTGTGTCTGGGAAATCAGAGAGGAATAGAAGAAGAGCTCCTCTTGTGATTTTTTATTCTTGCTGTTTAAGTCGGGAAGAAACTGGTTCCTACTGGACACAACGAGAGGGTTATTTTTGTTCAGTTTACTTGACATGAACATTCGAAAGTTTCTGTTCTTTGTGTAAACTCCTGTGAACATGGGTTTACATTAGTTTAAAAAATATTGTATGGTGTCAATAAAGTAAATTGTACCAAACAAAATTCAATAATAAACAAATATACTTTGGAATAGTTTGCTAATGTGACAGAAATAATTAACAACAATTAAAATTCTTCAGAAAATAAAAATTTACTACTAGATTCCTTCGCTTTTGAACTGAAATAAAAGAAAAAAATGTTTATCTCGGCCGATAAGTAATTTAGCGATACATTTATTTACTTTGATATCCAAAAAAAAAAAAAAATCCTATCAAGTGGTGAGTAGAAATTAAAGATCACTGATCCATGTAAGTCTAAAGACCATTGAGATTATACGTTCAAAAGCAAAGTAAGACATTCTGACCACAAGAGAAACATCAAATGACAAGATTATACGACAACGTATTATTTTAAAGAAGATGTTTCCATCAATAGCTTTTGTCTCACCTAGATCACAGAACAGTGTTTCATTACCATCTTTGTTTTTCACCAGTAGAGAGCTCAAATCTTCCCATGCAAACTGACCGAACACTTCAGCACCTTCACCTCTCATCCCGCTGTGTCTCTCATTGCTGCCATAACTGACCTCGATTTCATGGTTGTAAGTTTCATAATCGGAATAACCCGAGCCTCTGGCTTCAACTGCCGTATTAGTTCGCTGAATAACATCGAAGACGTTGAGAGTTGTTGCCCTTGATTCTTTTTCTCTCTCATGGTTTACTCTCTGAAGATTTGATGAGGTGCACGTTGATGGTGCACTGTCATCATGTGCGCACCCAGTTAGTCTCTGTTCGCACATTTCAGCAACCAAACTCAGCTGTTTATCTTCATCGGTTATGTGATCCTTGTCCCATGACAAGCCTCCAAGGTCAGAAACATTTTTTTTGTTTTTCAAGTGCTTTGATAAATGTGACTTGCAGAGATCTGTCCCAGCTGTAGCTGGTGCCGGTCTATCTGACGGGGGGTCTTTTTGTAATGTTGATTTTATCTTGATCACATCTACGAGTTGATGGAAAATATGCCGCACGAAGGCACCTGGTAAAAATATGTGTTTTTATATATCAAACAACAATTTTGACAACTTTAAACTACAAACAGAATAAAATATATGATTTTGATAAATTTAAACAAAATCAAATACAAAAGCTGTGATTCTTCTAAAGAAACAATTAAGTCAAATTAAATTTTTAACATACAAAATACTATAATGTACATTAACCAAATAAATTTATATTCACGTATGATATCATAGCATGGCCTTGAATTCTGATTTTGTTGCAGTGTTTGGGTGTCCAGCAATGAAAATAAACTTGTCATATTTTCAATGTGGAAAAAAGTTCAACTATTTTGTTTTTCAGCTGCCCTGGTTGCCTATTTTGTTTTCAAGAAATAACTATATTTAAAATATAATAATTCTGCAGCAGTAGGTTTCCCAAGGCAAAGAGCTTTAAAAGAATTAACCGCAACCAAGAATCTAGGAGACTATTAAATCAAATATTAACAAACTAGCCAAGTTTAATAAACTTTTTACTCGCATGACTTGGCACAATCCTATCGCAAAGCGCTCATGACGCTTTATGTACCCACTAGACACCTCCGCTCATCCAATAGTGGCAAACTCTCAAAACCACGTGTTCGCCTTGAGACTTACGGAAGCTGCACTTCCGCATTTGATGGCCCAACAATTTGGAACACACTTCCTGTCGCTCTCAGAAATAGCCAGACACTGGAATCTTTCAAAACCGATTTGAAAACACATCTATTTTGGGGTGATGTTGTCTACCATCTTTTCCAGCCAGCTATTATCTCCTAGATGTATATTGGCTTGAGTTGTTTATGGTTGCAAGGGATGAAAGACTTAGAATGGGTATTCTTGTATGTAGTTTTTGTAACATTGCGTTTTATATTTCAATGTGGTATAATATAGATTTTTTCAATTCTCTTTTAATATGGTTGACTTTATAACGCGCTTAGAGTCTTTGGGGATGAAGCCTGATTTTCAAATAAACTTTATTACTATTATTAATGGCAACACTTTACCTGCAGTAACACAGTTTTCAAAGAGAGCATTTTCCATCTGAAAGATTAAGTGTCGGCTAAATTTGGTCTCTGTGCTGGAAGAGTTAAAATATGCAAAAATACTGATTACTTTACATTGGTGAAATTATTCACAGAAATAAAACTTGAATAACACAAAGTCCAATCATCAAACTTAACATCATGATGATCAGAAAAAATGTGGGGGGTTTTCCAGTTTGTTTTTTTTTGAGTCCAAAACCAGGCAATGGTATGTTTATTCCTCATAGCGCTATGAGATTATTTGACTCATTTAGAATCATTAACATTTTTAGCATCTGGATTCCCTAGCAACAGATCCAAACAAAAAAAAAAAAAGCTCTATTTCACTAAGTGATAATAATTTTACCTGGAATCCAAGTCTAATACATGTGATCGCTTACAGTCTCTGTTGTAAAGTTTTTTCAGCCACAAACAGACCACCTGAAACAGTTGAATGGGGTCTAGTCTAAATTTATAACAAAGAAAACTTAATGTTAAACTGGGAGAGGACCAAACCAGCAGGCGATTTGATTTTGAAATAGGAACTTAAAAAATTAAGAAAACTTATTTGTAGAATTTAATGTAAGGATTCAAGGCTAGATTTTTTAATAGAGTGCACACCGAGTCTCTGACACAGTGAGCCCGTGACGCAGTAACACAATCTAAGTTAAAAACCAGGGTTCTCAAAAATCACAGTTTGCAACATGCTAGCCACTAGACTTTCTCCTCGGGTCTTCAGAGTTTTTAAGGTACTTACTTAAAAATAGAAAATGCCCACTATGTACTTATGTGGCCCTTTTCCTATGAATCATCCTCATACAAATGCATTGGGTAGTTTGAGATCCCTCTCACATACTTTAAAACATTGGGTTCCAGAAGGACGACTAACAGAAAATTTACATTGTTGGATCTCTAATTATTGCATAGCCTGTTGATCCAGTTGGACTGGTGCAAAACTTTGTAAGACTTGTCTCAAAACTTGGTAGGACTTGTCTCAAAACTTGGTAGGACTTGTCTCAAAACTTGGTAGGACTTGTCTCAAAACTTGGTAGGACTTGTCTCAAAACTTGGTAGGACTTGTCTCAAAACTTGGTAGGACTTGTCTCAAAACTTGGTAGGACTTGTCTCCAGCTACATGAGACCTTTCCTCACTCTACATAAAATCAGGGTGGGGGGTGGGGGATGCTAAGAAATATTTAAAAGGCCAAAAGAATATTATCTCCTACTTGTATCAAAGTATCCACCATCTTGTCCCCATCTTTATCTAGGTTGTACTCTCTCAGATATTCCAGGTCGAAGTACAACTTACACGGCTTGCCTGAAAGTTAAACAGCTGTAGAAAATGATCTCATGGCTAAATGCTATATATTAATGTTAAGTTGTATTAGTAACAGAAAAATAAACAGAGATTTGACACACATGGGGTGAAATCGGGTCTAGTGCCCAGCAGGGCAGCTAATCTTGTGGATAGGAAACCATGAAAAAAAACAACTCTGTCAACAAAGACAACACTGTGAAAACCCTCTCCTTACAAAATGGCAGTAACATTATCCTTAGATAGATATTGGAGACCAGTCATCAACATCTCTAGCTAGATTTCAAACAGTGCATATTAATTTCTAAAGCCGATCTAAAATCTTTTAAGTCTTACAATATGGAGCAGAAACTTGGAAGACAACAGCGAACATTACGCAGAAAGTACAGAACTTCATAAACACATGCCTTAGAAAGATACTGAACATCAAATGCCCAAATACCAGCACCAATAAAGATCTACTAGAAAGGGGTTAACCAAGTACCCATTGATGAAGACATAAAAAAAAAAGATGGAGGTGGATAGCATCATCATAACATGGAATCCACAAGGAAAAAGAAAGAGAGGAAGGCCAAAGAATACGTGGAGACACGAGCTAGAGGCAGACAAGCAAAAATGGGATACACCTGGAAGCAACTGGAAAGGAAATCACAGGACCGTGATGAATGGAAAATTATTGTGGACGGCCCATGCCCTAGACAGGGTAAAAAGGCATAAGAACAAGAAGATAATAATAATTTCTAAAGCCTGTCTAAAATCTTTATAATACATCGAATCTCCTGATGACCAAATGTCTCACAATATAGACACATTCATAAAAAAAGTCACATAATTTTTTAAAATTCATCAGCTCATGTACATATAAATAAAATAAAAAACATAAATTTGCAAATTTTTATATTTAAAAGTTAGTAAATAAGTTCAAAGAAAATCTTAAGAAAATAAAAATGAAAATGACATTGATATTTACCCTCAGGAATAACTTCATAATGATGTCTCCTGCAGAGCTCTAGTTGGCTGAAATCAAATTCAATCATATTTCATTATAATTCCCATGATGCCACATCAAGTAATGCTGATCATGTAAATGTTTGCTTATATAGAACTGTCCTAACATGCTAATATGTTATAATATTATTGAGTTGTATTATGTAATCTGTCTGCAATTTAATGTAGACAATTCTGATGACATGACTTTTTGTATGTGTGCCATTTTGTTTATAATCATAAAATGTGAAATAGTGTTAACTATGCAGGAAGAATGTAAGGATTAAGGGAAACATTATAGGGGAGAAAACAGAAACTTTAAATGGAATCTTACCCTGAATTCTAAATGTGAAAAATATTTGGTTGGAAACCCACACCAAAAAGGTTGGATATTCAAGTCATTTTCAGTAATGCCGTGCAAATAATTCTATAGAAGGGTTTTTAAAAAATGTCCAGTTATAGGTTTAGAAGAGTCTTTACCTGTAATAGTGCCAGAAAACTGGAAGACTTGTAACTAAATATCTCCTCTGACCTGGGTTATCAGCATTGGAGCCTTCCGAGAATTCATAGGCGAAAACATGAACATCCTGAAATACAAAATGGTTACAATTAAAATGTAGTTTAAAAAACTGATTTTAAAAAAGAAGCGTTTGCCAGGAAGTTTTGCTAAATCATTACCAATTTGTATCAGGTTTTATTAAATTACATAATTATAAGGAAAAATTGTAACACATTAATATTATTTATACCTCTGATGTCTTCTGAGCAAATTGAAAGGCATCCCTTTGTCTGTGGAAAATTTTCCAACAGTATGTTGGACCCAAAATTCTGGGGATATTTAAAAATCTCTGTTGGATTTTAATTTCATCAAAGTAATTATAATTTGAAAGCATTAACATCAACATACAATTTTGAACCATCCCCTTCCAAAAGCCCAAATCTAGATGCAAAGCATTTACCTGGACTCATATGCCTTGGGCACCTTCCATGACTGTTTCTTGAGAATCCCTTTTGCATTTGCGGGGTCTTCAATCTTAGATTTCCTTTTTCTAGAATTTCAAATCAGAATTTAGTACAAAGGACAAACTGTCAAAGTGTATGTCAAATTTGTGAATAAAAATAGGCCTACGTTTAAAATGAGTACCTAATCTATTGGGAATCCAGGTGGCTAAAACAAAAAGAAAATTTTTTTTCTTAAAATAATGAATTTTTAAAATAACAGCAATTTTTTAATCAATTACCTGCTAATGCCATAAAACTTTATGATGGGAAATGGAGTAATCTCTGTTTCTGTTGAAAGTGTTGTCATTCTCTTTAAAACAAAAAGTTTCTTCTAATTCCATCATTCCATTGCACAAATTCTTTTTTTTAAAGCTTTTATTGATTTTAAAGAAGACATGGTTGCTGCAAGTGTAAATGCCTTAAAACATTACAATTTCCAAAACTAAGACAAAAAAAGAATTATAAAACTTTTCTACAAAGCAGAAGGCATATTTTTTAAAATCTATTACCAATCTTATAATTTTAAATAAATACTGTCAAAAAAAAACTGTAAGCCTTCTTTTGACACTACTGTTGTATACAAGAATATATAATTAAAGTAGAAAGATCCTTCAGTAAATGAACAGAATACACGTTCAACCCCTTGATACAGCAATGAGCAAGAAATAACATGACAGAAATTATTTAATTATAAAGTTTATGCAAAATTGAGTCATGATTGTGTAAATGTAAGATGATATTATTGACAATTATTGAAGGACCTGAAATATTATTTTAGAAAAGGACATTAGAGTAGGATGCAATGATGGTTTAATGACAAATATGATTTTTTTAAAATATAAAACCTAACAGATTAGTGGCTAGCTGAAGATATTTCATTGTTATGTATTGTTGAAAATTGTGAATGTAGTTCAATTACATGAGTAGATTAAACAGCAATTACTAGCAACTAGCATTAATAAAATAATAACTATTTCCTTCGATGACGATGGCTTAAAAAAAATAAGTATAAGGTAGAATCATATTTTCGTTTATTTTAATGAAATTAGATTCCGTACTAATAGGGCTGTGAATGGGTACCCGCCCATCATGGCTAATGCACAGGCATAACCGGGTGCCTGATTTTAAAAAGATATTTTGAAAAATCATTAAAAAAACTTTGACTATGAAGTTTCTATAAAAAAATTAATTTTCTTATTAAAAAAATTAAATTTCTTATTCCTTACTTAAAAGACTTAGGATTGTAATTAAATGCACCAAAGCATACAGGAGTCATGAAGGATGCATCCAACTGCACCCCAACTTCATATGTTTTTCCACTTTCAATCTATGTGCCCTTTAATGGTGTGTCTTAGTCTTTATATCTAACATGTCTTGGCCTTGCACATGTTTCTTAAAGTTTATATTCATATTGCTATTTGTATTGTAATACTTCTCCTAAGACTACAGTAAGCATAAATATGGTATACAGGTTCCTTGAAAGAAAACCTAAAAACTAATGAAATTTATTTTTAATTTAATATAATACGATTTTTTTATTGACTACACCATTTCGAATGAGTAAAACTAAAAAAAATTAATAATTAATAACACAGTACATACACTAGGTCTAGAGTAGCCCTCTTATACTATAGTATAGTATAGCCTTAGTTATAGCCATAGTTAGGCATATCCAGATTACCTCTAGACTCTAGGGCCTAGGCCGCTATCATCATGCCTAAACCGTACCGTCCTATATACCCACAAGTGTTTTTAACATTTTTGACAGCCCTAAACTCACTAACTTAACTAACTGCTAACTAACATTAACATGAGTCAATCCGGCTCTCACTGCTGTCTATAACTAGTCTCTGCCATGACCATCTACAAAGCCAGGTGGAGAGGAGCTGTCAAGAAGGGGGCTAAATCTCATGAAGCCAGTAGGACAACCACAGCTGAGGCACGCATGCTGGCCAAGAAGAGCAACACTAGATCACCGACTGCAGCAACTATCCGGTATCCCCTGGCCCTGCACGCGGTGCCAGAGATTATTCCGAGCACAGATCGACCTGATCGGTCTAGCAAGCTCCAACGAGCTCACCGTAACTCACCCTCCCGGCCCTCCCCTAACCTGATGACTCGATGGTCCTTTTGACGGACGAACAACAACAAATAAAGCCCCCCCCCCACCCCAAAAAAAAAATCAAGGGTAAATAAGGAGAATAGTACCCGCGATGGCCACCATATTGGTAGACACAACCAGTTAATACTGTCACTAAACCTAACCCTAAATCGATCCCTATGCCTAACCTGAACCCTAAATCGATCCCTATGCCTAACCCTAACCCTAAATCGATCCCTATGCCTAACCTGAACCCTAAATCGATCCCTCTACCTAACCTGAACCCTAATTCACTGCAACTATGGCGGCCATCTTGGGTACCGTTCTCCGCTTTAGCCAAAAATCAAAGTCATATCATAAGCTTTTTCAGTTATTAATATTTGTCTTATTCTGTACCAGTATGTCAACAAATTAACAAATTTAAATCTCGACAATTAGCTCTTCGGTACATGAGAGGTCTTTTGATTGACAAGTCAACATCCGGATTACAGCTATTGGCTGAAAAAGGGAGATCACTCTAACTATTTGGTTGCTATTTATCAACAAATGCAAACGATGCGATTTTTTTTTCTCTCGTTGACTTGAATGATTTATATTAGAGGCCATCAGTAAATTAGGCACGCAAAAATTAAAATATTAGATCTCCCCTCCCCCTTTTGATGCATCAGTCCTTTATGAGCATCCTCATCTGTATCCGTATGTACAATAAACATCCCCCTCCCCAAACAATTATAATTAATAATGTTTATTTTTATTATTTATAAACCATTATGAGATGAAATTCAATTAAATGAAATCAAGTCAACGTATTCAAGTGTTTCCTAACCACCACGCCCACATGGGGAAATTTGTAGATTGTAGGACATATAAAAGATCATGAAACGGCATCGAAGGAAAAAATGGGGGAAGGGTGGAGAACCTTGGGCATCACTGAAATGATGGGGGAAGGATTTTTGTGATAGTGGGTGGTTAAAATATTTGCCCCCCCCCTCCCAAGGGAAGGAGGGGGCAATAAGGGCAGAGTTCATCTGGCACCAACACCAGGGGACGCCAAATATCATTTTTAGGTCAGACATTATTAGTGAATTAAACTATAAAATCCCATGTACTTCACATAGACAGAGTCGCCAAATTCGTCTTACTAGTCCACGCTGGGCATCGCTTTTCCTCGTCACGTGTCTGTCTATAGCCTACTACAAAATTAACGTTATGAAAATAATTTTGTTCCATGCGTTTTAGCCAGTTCCTTTAAGGTAATTTTATCCACGGAGGGGGAGGGGGATCCCCAGACGTTTGAGAATGGGGGGGGGGAAGGGGTGAAAGGCATCTATCAGCACCGAAATTTGACACTTTGACTTTGACCCCCATGGCAGCTCTGAGTTCGTCGCCCCCACCATAAATAATCTTAAATTCATTCAGGTAATGGCGTCTCTAAGGGTATGCTTTTAGACTCAACGTAGCCCCCCCCCCCCCCTGGAATCTATGTATTCAAAGCACCTTGACCAAACTAAATGAAAATCATAATGTTGTCCGTTCAAAAATATCATTGTAATTATTCGCATGCAACGCTTTTTTTTTTTCAAATGATTAAATTGTGTCGTCGGTTATGTCCCTTTAATTAGGTAAAGAAAAGAACTCGTGGGCGCGGGGCGAAACTGTTGGTAAGGTTTGGGGAGTGGTCTTAGTAAGCCCCTCCCCAGAAAATTTTGGAATGCATTTTGGCGCGTGCGTGAATTTAGTTTTGTATCATTCTGCACTTAACCGGTCAGCAACAGAAAAGAAGCTTGTTCAAACTTAGGTTCCCTTGACCATGCATGGGTTACACAATTCATTTGGTTTTAGCTGTATCTAAATAGTAATGTTGTTTCATAATTTTATTTTGAAACTATTTATTTGTTTAAACTAATTCATCATTGATGAATTTACAAATATATATATATATATATATATATAATTCCGGCCAATATATTATTTCGTTAGAAACAACCACAAAGAATTAGTATATTAGTATTATAATCACCATTTTGCATTTATTTAAAACTCAATTATTATTTTTTCTCCCAAATTTACAGTTCCAAAAAAAAAAAAAAAAAAACAACAACAAAAACACTCTTTTGTAGAAAAGTTTATAGATTTTGTATGGTTATTGAAAACAAGTCATTAAAAAAATTGTATCCAAATGATTTTTTTAAAAAAAGAAGATGAAATATTCACAAACAGCGTCAGATATATTAGTATATCATTTTCTGAGGGACGATGAAGCAGTATNGGGGGGGGGGGGGGGGGGGGGGGCGGACACCCCCACCCCCCAATCCAACGCCTCTACATTTGGCTTAGCCATTGGAAGGGGGGCGGGTAGCCAACGTACAATGAACATATTGTGCTAGAAATTTTAGAATATGTCAGTAAATTTTATGTTATGGATTTGGCAACCCAAACTTGTAGCATCCATACTCCACATTGCACAAACTCCACATATCACATAATCAAAATTGCACATACTCCACATTGGATATACTTAACATTGCAAATACACCACATTGCATATAATCCACATTGCACATACTCCACATTGCACATACTCCACATTGACATTACTCCACATTGAAATACTCCACATTGCACATACTCCACATTGACATTACTCCACATTGCACATACTCCACATTGCACATACTCAACATGCACATACTCCACATTGCACTTACTCCACACTGACATTAAGCCACGTTGACATTAAGCAACATTGCACATACTCCACATTGCACATACTCAACATTGCACAAACTCCACATTTCACATACTCCACATTTACATTACGCCACATTGCCCATACTCCAAATTGCACATACTCAACATGCACATACCCAACATGCACATACTCCACATTGACGTTAAGCCACATTGACATTAAGCCACATTGCACATACTCCCCATTGCACATACTCAAAATTGCACAAACTCCACGTTTCACATACTCCACATTTACATTACGTCACATTTGCACATACTCCACATTGACATTACTCCACATTACACATACTCCATAAAAATACGTAACTTGCCTGCTACCCACAATACTATAAAATTCCTGACTTTAAAAAAAAATCAAAATTATTTCCTCAGTGAGTTAATACGAGAATAAGTGCCCCTGATAGCTTCCCATAAAATAAAAGTTACATTTGGCTGGGACTGAGCTTTTAACAATGATTCATTTTCCGCCATGCGCATCACCATGTGATCTCACCAAACGCAGGAAATAAACTGTTCATAAAATACTCGAGCTCTTTCAGTGGCTCGATTAATACTCTAGTATATTATTATTTCAACATTGAATTTACGGTAAAACAAACACAATGTATTGGTAATAATAATTGGAACAAATATCATTAGCATAACGAGGTCATGCCCCTTGTGTTAGTAACGTCTATAACTTATATTCAAATGTCTTTAACATACCACATCAAATAATATAGGAAAATATAAATATATTATAGCAGTACATCGGGGAAATGGGGGGGGGGGTTGCGATTTAGGGCTGGAGTACTGCGTGAACGCATGGAAACGGCGTTCCTGTAGGCCTACTGTTTATTTTTGCTATAAATGAAATATTTGGTGAGTTCCCACATCCCTCCCCCCCCTCCCCAGGACTACACCCCTGAATTTACATAATATCCCTATACTTTTTTGTTAAAATTTCCCACCCATAAGTAGTACCTCACTTGATTGCTGTCTAGAGTAAAATTGTTGTAAACTATAGGCCTATAATGATCTTTGAGATCAGTGATAAAATGTCGCCGGGGCGAGCTCCCTAACACACACTTTAATATAATGATTTTTTAAATTATTATTTTTAAATACCACCTGGGGCGGTTGCCCCCCGGGGTCGCACCCCATCATAACCCTACTGGTTAAAATTATAATCGAAACAGTTCCGTGTTCAGGAAATCTACTTGACAGCTTTCAGATTAAAGACGAACACACACACACACAAATACACAACTCTTAATTTGAAATCTCAGTTCCGACACACACTTGATTTTCAAATATTAATTTTCTTTTTCTATAAGCGTTTTTTTTTCTTTCCTTTCTTCTCTGTGACAATTTTAAATGAGTGTCAGTGCTTTTACCATATTTATTATTTTTAATTTTGTTTCTTCGGCGAAAACCGATACACAGTTAACGATTCGATACAACAAGAAACTGATTGATTTTAAAACCGATGAATTCAACAGGTAATGTTTTTTTTTTTTTTTTTTAAATCTTTTAGAAACAAATATTCACAAAAGTTTGTGCGAGTTTATTTTGTGTGTGTAAAACTCTAGTTATTCAAATAGTCATATTCATGCATCGCCTTATAGGTTTGCGACAGTGGCCAGAATCACTGAGTGCGGTAAACTCATGGTGTCAACCCCACCTCCTCAAGACTTCATCCGTAGATCTGAGAGGGTGTCCCTCCGGTGTGGTCCGCACATTCCGCATCCCCTCTAGTGACGCAACTGGACTCTTAAACCAGAGCCGTTCTTAGGAGTTTTGGGGCCCTAAGCATGGAGCGTAGGTTGGGGGCCCCGGAAGGGGGGTCCGATCGCTATTTATACTTTCCCATTCCCTCGGCCAAGCCCCCGATTTCCTGTCTGCCACCCCCAAAAGCTCCCCCCCCTGCTGCTTCCCTTCCCCTGCCTCCGAATTTAACTCAGAATGATAAATTTCAGGATGAGGAAGGTAACGTGAGTGAAACAGACGTCTGCTGTGCCAGTTTAAAAAAAAAAAAAAACGGGGGATCGAGGGCGCCTCACGGGGGCCCACTTACGTCCGGGGCCCTACGCGGATGCGTAGTCAGCGTATGCCTAAGAACGGGCCTGCTTATACCAAAATTTGAAATACTGCACTTCCACTTTCAGGGACACCCCCCTCCCCCACAACATGAACAGACTTTTAAATAATCAAAGTATTCATAAATTAATTTTTTTTAAAATATGAAATTCCAACTGTGTTATAAAAGCTAGTGTAAAGACCAATGGAAAATGTAAGGGAACTCGTCCAAAATCTCTTAGCAAAAAGAGTTTTAATAAAGTACAGGAAGGCCGTTCCCAAGGGTTCCTGCCGGACTCGATCACTTAATAACCCTAAACCCTGATGTCATTGACCAACACACTTTATACGTCGCTTATACCAATGACATCTTGGAGAAGGTGAAGTGCCAGGCGACAAAAATGTTGGCCCCACCCCAGGCGACATCATCCCTATGCAGAAACAAAAGATGGAAAAAATTGCCGCGCAACCCCCTGTTCTACGCCCTTATGGATAGACCCCAAAAAATTAATAATTAATAAGAAGATAGTTTGTTACGGCAAAAATGATTAACAACTTCAATTACAATTTTATGATTTCAGATTTTCCCACTGCATGGGTTCAAGTGCGACCACCTCGTGTTCAGCTACCACACGCCAGACGCGATTATCTGACGTAACTTCCTCTATCGACCAAGTCA